GCATTTCGGCGTGGCATTCGGTCATAAAAACCTCCACCTTCGTTTTCTTCACGCATGAAGGAAACATGGGAGAGGGCATATCCAGCCGGTGCGCTACGTGAAAAGTGTGTAGTAAATGACATCATGGCGGCCATATTCACTGGGCACAATGGCGTGTTAAAGCTGGAAGAGGAAGGTCGCTGGAGGATACGAAAAACAAACACAGGTTTATGGCACTATTTACACATATTTACAGAAAAGAAAGGTTAGTGGTTTCACAAACCACTACACATTAGACGCCAAATTGCCCGCTTAGCTTTTATGGAATCCCTCATTAAGTGTAAGACTGGATTATCACCCACTCCATTCATTAGTCCGTCCACCACGAGGAAAACACGACACACACATAGCCACAGTTTATCCCCATTCTTTGCCCGAACAAATACCTTTAAGTTTTCATATTTTCCACGCACGGTAGATGACTGGAATAAATTGCCAGAAAGAATTTTTAGTGGAAATTTTATGACAGCCCTACACGATCATTTTAGAAACTTTTAATTACTGACGATCGGGTTTTTAGCAATGTTACTTGAAGTTGTGCGTGATTTTCTAGTTTTATTTGGATTGGAAACCCTGCTATGTTTGTGCGAAAAGTCGGTTTCACCGTGGCTTGTTTATTTTGTAGTTCTAAGTGAATTCTGCATTTTGTTGCTTCATTGTTTTTTTTGCATTGCATTGTATGTGCATGAACATTCTTTTTTTCTGCCCGTCCTGCTTGGACCATTAAATTGGTCTGCAGTATTGTATAAATAAAAATAAATAAAATAAAACCACGAGCGTCGTGGTTGAACTGTTACATAGTTCAGAGCGACGTCCAGCACTCTGCGGCGTCGTTTTAAGCCCTGTCGGGCTCCTCCTCTCCGAGTGGAACACCAATCACACACACACAACAGGTGAGGGGGACGAGCATGCATGGTCCACGTGAACGTCCAATATTTAGTCGTGAACACTGCACTGCAAGGTGGCGCCAGCAGGGCTCCTTCTCGTCGTGTGTGTGCCGCTAGTCGAGAGTTCCCACGGTCCTGACAGCATACCTCAAATGGTCCGCCGATCGGTTCGCTCAATTAGCGGGGTGATTTGCGGTGGCCGCCAGGGTCTCTTCCAAGGAAGATGCTGTGTTTGTTGTCCTCACTCGAACGGTTTACGGCGTCGTGGCGACACGACGTCTCATCCTCCGGCTAGCAAGCACAATGCTTGACGAGCATAGGCAGCCGGCTGGTCGGCTACTTGATTGGGGATTAAAAGGAGCGCCGCTCTCCTGTCAGCTCTGGCGCCGGTCACGCCAGCTTCCCCGTCGCCCGATGAGTCGCCGAGGGCATCAGTCAGCACTTCTGCTCGAAGAGACGACAAAAGGGTCCGTAGTTGAAAGTCAGGAACTCGCCTTCGCTTGTCACATGGTCTGGGTAATTACTCAAATATTCGACAGCGTCTGGCAGACTGGGTGCCGAAGGGATTGAGAGCCTCTCCAGTGGACTGGCTTACGTACCATGGCGTCTGCCTAGATGAATTTCCAGGCCAAACTTAACAGGCGGCGTTGCTATGGTTACGTGACGCGCAGTGTAGCTGGTCTTGCAGTGAGCGGCCGCGGCTGGCGGCGGCATGTGCGCCTCCGTAGGTCTCGTGCTGAGCCGTGGTGGACGATATCCGTGCTCTGTGCCGCGTTATTGCTTACGCAGTGTTCTCCTGGCTATTACTGCACTCCTAGCAACGTTTACAACACCTTTTGTCCGCCACGGGGCCTCAACAGTGCGTAGAACGAGCGCACATCCATGTGTCGTGCGGCAGATGACGCGGATGAAGCCTTTGAAGTGTTCAGCGGAATTGCGTTGGGCACTATGACGAAGCGGAACGATGACCAACACCTTGCAGGTCAGTGACGGTTGTGCAGTGGTCCTACTTGTGACAACGGACGAAAGCGTTGTGTCCAGAAAGACGCAGTGAGGACCATATGCACATATTTAGTTTCGTGTTCGGTATGTGTACAGTATCAACTTGCATGTGCGTATTAAAACATCTTTTCTATTTCGCTTGTCATACTCGACCCCAACATTGTGATCTCATCGTTAGAGTAACCGCGTTCAAGTGTCACTTGCACCGTGCTCAAGGCCACCACGGTCGCAGAATGCTGACGCCGGTGAGTTTCACGCAGAACACGGGCACAGTGGCCGCGTCGACTGCGTGGCGGAATGCACCCGTAGAATAAGGCGCACGACCGATCGTGTTATCTGTACAGTGCGTGAATTAGTGACGCGAAAACACTTCCCGTTGTCAGTGCGTCTAGCGCGCGTTGTCTTGTACTTGCTTCGCGTTGTGATTTCGCCGAAGGTGTCGCGCTGGCCGAGAGTGTTGAGCCCCGTTCTATTGGTTTCGGATCGTAACGGCACGCGCGCTGCGCAGCCCACGTGCTTTCGGAGCGAGAGTCGCGCCCTCTGCTTTACATTCGTACGTAAATAAGAGAGGAGAACTTGCCCAGTCAATATGGCCGACTTCCGGCTTCACTACGGCTTCATAACGATTGACGTCAGGGACTCTCCTGAGTTGTTTCCTTTCTCCGTGGTTTCTGTCTTCCAATCATGAAGGCGTGCGTCACCCTGGAAGCAACGGTGGCATGGTTGCCAAACAGTATTCATTGTTCTGAAGTTTACAATTAATTCACCTTTGTTAATTGCTGCGGAACACATTGCGGTGCATTTGAATTGGTGCATTGTTATAGCGGTAACCTGACCAGAGAAGAGCCGCATGACGAGAATAACAAACGGGAATATAAGATACAAACGTAAGGAAGAATGAATGCGCAAAGAAGCCGAGTAGCGTTTTCCCCATTGTCCAGATAGAGTGAGGGAGTTCCGATCGCTCCTCGTTATTGCAAACAGCAACACACAGAAAGAAATAGTTTGGCGAGGCCGGGGCAGCCCTTGGCACCCCCGCTTGTGATTTCGCGGCCCTGACTCAGCGGCGGCTTGAAAACAAACGCGCACCGGAGACGGCGGCCTCGCGCAGCAGAAGAGCCACATTTTGCCGAGCCCAGTCGGCGGTAATGGTTGCGAAAGCCATGTGTATCGCCGATGCCTCCGCTGCTGCCTCCTCAGACGTAGAGGTGTCGGAAGGGCGGAGGGTGCGCGCGTTTCTCAAGAAACCTCGAGGCTAATATGGCCTCGTTCCGGTTTTGCTGTTTGCTTTCGAAAGGCCACGGTTTTTTTTTTTTTTTTTCAGCTAAACTTGCGAAGCGAGAGGTGAGTTCCGGGGGGTTGGATCTTCACTTCAGTTCAGGGTCTTCGGTGCTTGGAGGGGGGAAATGCTTATGTAAAATATTAAATATGTGGATTTATTTACAGTGAAGCTCATTAGGCTACCCTGTGGCGTTGTTCCTGTAGCAGCAACAAGCGTCACGCTGGTCACGTTACCAGAGGAGGGGGAAGATGTCTAAGCTAAAGAATAAAACGAAATGATAATGTCGATAATGAAACTAAGCACTCTTTAGACTACCCTCACCCGCACTGGCGCATTTACAGCTTCACAGTCCAGCAGTAATCACAACATGCAACTGGCGAAGCAAAAAAAAAAAAGTGTGTCCAAAGCCACAACACAATTATAAGGCACAGTAGGAGTGGACTAAATTAATTCTAAATACCCAGAGCTCCTGAACACTAACCCAGCACATGTTTAGGGACGCTCGATTTCTTCCTAATAAAATGCAGTCCCTGTGTCCAGGAAGGGACTTTGCAGACTCCAACATAGCAGTGAAGCAACTTAGCCACTAAGCTACCACCGCAGGTCAAACTTGATAAAAACCAGCTGATAATGAAGCCAAGGACGTTATAGGGAACGTTAATTCTACTGCTTGAAATGTAGTGTAGTAATTCGGATATATAGATGTGAAAAAAGTAAAGTGGAGAAAAAGGCAACTTGCCTTTGGCATGTACCTGAACCTACAATCTTCGGATCTGAAGGTCGCAGGTTTAGTTCCTTCCAGCAGCAAGTTGTTTTTCTTTTGCGAATGTGCACTGCATCAGGAATTCAAATGTGAACCATGGTTTGTGTACTGCAGGAGTTTTCTGCAGAGTAACTTATCATTCTACTTGTGATGTCATACCTAAACCAAGAATTACTGCTTTAATTTATCTGCAATCTATCTCATACTATAATGTCACTGTGTTTCTTCTTTTTTTTCTCACTTTTATCTTATCAAAAAATCATTTCCTCAAAGCTGGGTGTATTGTATTAAATGGTGTATAGGCTCCACATAGACATACTCTGCTTCACCTTCGGTGTTGGCGTCAGATCTGCTTTTGAAATGCAGACATCTCAACCCAGTTTTCCACATTATCGAAACATCCTGTTATGCTGAGATTACCTTCACGTTTATGGATTTATGGCATCCAGCCATGTCAGTTTCATTTTTAAATGCGAAGTATCTTATGGTGGGGGCTGTGTGCCTCCCTCACTTCAGTGGCATCCACATCCCCACAGCGCATGCACGTCCCGTCCACCTCTCTCTCCTTTCCTAAACTACCCTTTCTCTCACTCAAGTTGGGGGCGAAAGTAACAAGACGCTTCCTCAGTACACACGATCACTCCGAAGCCGTCGATCATCGGCCTTGCAGCGTTCCTCATTTACGTGAGACAGGTCACATCTGCTTTGGTTAGCACGAGATTACAGTCTATGTCCCTGGCGTGTATGTTGACCGGCATTTCAGCAATGCTGTAGTCATGGTCACTGGCACCATTGGTCACAGGCAGCCTTCACGGCAGTGGTCACCAGCATCAAGCGATGGTCACCGGCAGCATTAGTCAGGTAGAGCTTATGCGGGTGCTGTTCACCATCTCCCCGCTGCTTCCCATCCACACATGGTTCCCTTTAGCGGAACATGGCATAATTTTTTGTGAAGCTTTTATTTGATGATGTGGCCATACGAAAAGCACGTTTTGTTTTTCATACGGTACTTGCTTTTTATGTGCAGAGCGGACAAGAGCGATGTGCTGACCGAGGACCTGATCCAGGCCGAGAAGAGGGTGGACAGCATCAAGCACACGTGCGCCTGCACCCACAAGCGCATCCTCTCCTGCCTGCACAATGTCTCTCTCGAGGACAACGAGAAACTGCAGGTCAGGGATCACTGTTCTCTCCTCATGCAAGCATTGTGTCGGTCATTTTTCTTGGGGCAGCATTAGCGGCACTGCTCTGTCTTTGAAGCATCATATTGACAATTTATTCAGGATGGTGGTTAGCGGGTGCTGCCATATGGGATTTTTTGGCACTTATTTTGTCATTTTTGGATGTTGCAATGTCAAATTAACCCTTTAATGCCTGAGTTATAAAACTGCCGAGCGAAATAGAAATGATTTTAATTTTATAGCTTTAAGTAGCATCCTTTAAATAATCCCGCAGTTAAATTATCAAAAATGCAACTTTAATGCATACCTTTGTGTAGGTCGCGAATTCTCCATATGACACCGAAGCGAGGACCTTGCAACAAAAAAATGCACTTCAGAACTACATAACATTTTGTGTGCTACCTCTTGAGTGCCTACATACCAAATAAACAAAATTATTGCAGATAGAACTTAAGTCACCAAGGCGAGAAAAAAAGAAGTGAGAGCTGTTGCACGCGCTGAGTGCTTTCTGCCGTCAGCTACAAAACTAGCTTAAAGTACCTCAGACGAGACAACGATAAATTTTTCACACTGAAAGCTATACATGCCTCGTGAGTACTTGGCAGCCGGCTTTAAAAGTAGAACGCATTTCATGACTTACTTGCTCGAAGTTACTTGGTATGTCGCGGATTCACGTCATCCGGCAGTAAAGGGTTAACAAGGTGTGAAATTCTGAGTTAACTCGTACAGCAGTCATCACATTTGCAGCTCTGCTGGGGTAATCTGATTGTGTATACAAAATGGCCTCATAACCTTTAAAGACGGCCTGTCTGAACATATCTATGAAATAATCTATAGTTGGTGTCAAAGCTGACAGTTTTTTGGATGATAACGAGTCACTTTTAAAATAAGCAGCCACCGAGAAAGGGGGACTGAAAATTGTCCAGGTTCAAGTATGTGAACATGATATAATGTAACGCACTTCGGGTGAGGCCCCGCCGATCCAACATCGACGTGCGGCAGACTCGCAGGCTTCCACTTTACGCTTCGGCCTGCGACGCCTGAAAGGCCTCGAAGTGGCACATTTCGAATTTATTTGCGGGTTGGTCGACCCGTGCGGGGTTGCACGTGTGGTGATGTGTGGGCCTGACCGACGCACTCATAGAGCAGACACGGAGTTCGATTACACATAAACAAGCATTTAATTGGAACACTGGCAAAGGCAGGAGTTAAGAAAAATAACAGAGAGGAGTAACACTGATACGCAAAGGAAAGAACAGCTATATAACAAAATATGCTAAAAAAACACTACAAAAGATACAGACTAAAGACAAATATGCGGAACATTAATAAAATAACAACAAGATGGAAATCAAAGGAGAGAGACACTAGAAATTAATTACAGAATGATCATGGTGGCGCTTTAGAATTTAAACGTGCGACGCAGCGCACACTACAAATATTTAAAAAAAAAAAGGCTGGTTAAAACAAGTTTACGGTTTAACAAAAAAGTCACAATAAAAAGTTCCATACGGACCAAACCAGCCCTTGGTGCACGTAGGGGAGTTGACGGGTGCCGCTGAAGGTCTCGCCGGCTTGGTAGACGACGAGGGTGCCCGGAATTGCAGCCGTCTCAATACGTTGCGCGGGTCACTCCGTGCTCGCCGCCTACGCGAGACTCGCGACACCGACGACCGCACTTGTTGCTGTCTGTACGTCAACTGCCTTTTCCGATGCAGTCCAAACCTCTTCAGGGACGTACACGTGCTCCCGTCTCATCTGGGGGTAATTCTCCTTGTTTAGATCGCCGGTGCCCCTTCCGGTACCGGTGCAGGGAAGACGAGCCGGCGCCACGCTGGGTCGTTATAGTCGCCGGATGTCGTCCCCCCAACACAAAAGCGCCCTTCCTTGGAAGGTGGGGCCCGCGGATGCTCCGAAAATTGGAGTCGTTTGTGACATATATTAAGATTTAGTTAGCAGAGATTAATAACAAGGAATTGAGAGGAGATTTGCAATGAAGAGTATTACAGGAAGAGCAGTCACACTAACTGACAAGAAATATTGGAGAAAGGTATGACGCTTCCTTAGCTTTCTTTGTTTTGCTGAAACAGATAGGTTTTCTTCACTCTTAAATATTGCACCTCTTCCTTGATTATAAAACAATGTCCACTCGACCTTCTTATAAGTTTTTACCAGGAGATCATTCACTAGAACATTTTATTTTGTAGTGTGTAAATAAAGAAAATTGAGCCAGTAAGATTGTAATTCATATATACCACTTATATTTAATGTCAACAAAATTTCGTCCCACATAAATAGTTGCTTCTTGAAGCTAGATGGCCCCGCTTGTCCATGTGTGTCATTTGTGTCCTGGCTTTCGTTGTGCTGCTTTCTTTTATTCTACTGCCATGAGGTGGAGTTACCTTTGAGTAATCGTTTCTTTTCATGCAATAAGTGAAATAAACGAATGTGATTTAATTGAAAGAATACCATTTTATTCAGAAAAGGAAAAGGCTATACAAATAAAGGCAAACGTTTTTTGTGGTAAATTTGGTTATATTGTCTTTTATTCACAATATAACAAAACCTTTTAATTACTACTGGGTAGAAATAATTCTCAGGGTGTTCTTGCTGCAGTCTTTCAATACAACAGATGCGAAGAGAGTTTTTGAAATTAAGAAAAAAAAACAAAAAAATGCTAGAGCTATGAAGTGCCCTCTGTTGCCAGCGTTCTTTATTGAAGGGAAGCAAGATGCAATCTTTATGCCAGCTATCGATCATGCCGATGTTGCATTTAACATGAACTTAGTTTTGTCACTCTTGCAAAAGTTGTTAAAATGTAGCTCTGTCATGGCGCATTGTTTCGTACACAGTATGTACGATTCTGACTAATTTTGAGCATTAGATATGTGTGGCTCGTGGAAGAGCGAAATTTTAATTTGCACACAGTCGCTGAATCATCTTTTGACAGTGCTAGCTGAGATAATGTTTCACCCAGTGCGTGGTCATACAGGTTCCACTATCTCAATGTTATTTGGCGGTGCTTCTGCATTGCACCAAATTTTGAGGTAGTGTGTCGTATGTTGTGTGTGCTATTGCCCTGTTGTCAGTTCTGGCCCTGGTAATGATGAGAGAATTGACCTTATACAAAGAGGTGTCCTTTAGCAGACTTCACTCTAAATGTGAAAAGATAAGATTCATCATTACATCCAGTACTTCCACATGTTACAGATAGGGTGTTTATTGAAGCTGCGAATGATTACGGCCATGCGAAATGTCTCACACAGGGGCTCATCAGATGGCTTTCTTGTTCAAGGCTTCCCTGTTCATCGCATCACAAGTTGCACTATAAATGCCTGTCATAAACAAAACAATGTTTTGTTATAACTTTCATGCTTCTGCTGGAAAACAGATGGAAAACACTATAGACAGAAGTTGGTATTTTTTGCAATTGTGTAATAAAGCATAGTATGGAGATCGTCAGCATCGTGAAGTTGCCCTGCGAACAATAACACCGTGGGCGCATTAGAGCACAGTTATTATTTATCAAGTGCATCTCCTTTTTTTGTTGCATCTGTGTCGAAAATTTTGGGACAATAGGCCCATTCTAATCTTTGGGAGGAGGGGGCAGTAGTGTTTCTAGTTTAATTCATGATGTTTAGGTGGTGGATGAATAGGGCGTGTTTTGATGAGCAACTTAAAAAAATTAGTACAAGCTGTCATACAAGTTCCAAAGGCCAGAATTTACCTGTATAGCTCCAAACTGAGTTACAGCTTTCAGCCTGTTTGGAAACACGTCACAGTTCGTCGCTCTGTCATTCTTTACATAATTATACATTTACAATCTTGTTAATAGTATCACTTTTATCATGAATGACATAAATAAAATTCAAATAAGGTTTCATTTCGGCTTTAGTAGTTTAAAGTATATGAACTGTTATTTTGCCTTTAAACACAGTGCAGAATTTGAGAAAATTGCTCGTGCTAGAGTGCATGATTGTAATCGTTGAGATTGACTACTCCAAACGGCAGAAATTTCTACTTGCAGAAAAACTTGAATTGAGATAATTAAATTATAAACTCACTAGTTCTTTTAATTGCATAGGTTTGCCTTACAGCATTAATACTTAATATACAAAATTGTGCCACTTCGTTTCCTCCACAAAGTCGAGGAGGAACCTCTGGTTCAGACCGTAAATTCGTTGCTGCAAGTCAGGTGGCCCGTCATGCTCAAGTCCCGCCTCTAGTTAGCCTTTCAACTAACTACATTGAGGAACATGTTGCAAGATTGTAGCCACTCATATTGCCAGGCATTACCAGTACGAATGAAATATGAGAGTGGAGTGTATTTAAGATGTGCACCATTATGCAAGATGTAAGAATGCACTGGTGTTTCAGATACAGTTTTTGGGAACATGTGATTTGCTGTATTGAACTGCAAAGGTACCCAGAATGCCCATATATAGTTTGTATCGCACTTAGTCGATGCATATCTAAAACAGGGTGCCCTCCAAAATATATGTGCAATGTGGACACTGCCTATGAGCTTACTGGCTGCAATTAATTGATTGAAATATATAGTGAATAGTACTTCATAAAAGCTTAATTAGTTAATGTTCTTGAATCACTGGTTAGAGTGTATTCAACGTTTACGGGTGTTTTTGTCATAGAACGCTTTACTCATGAAGAACTCTTCCCTCTCTTAATAAACAATTGTATCGGTCCAGTTGGTATGAATCCATCTCGGTAGGAAGCGCAGCCCCTATTACAGAGAACATACAACACAAGCGCTTAGTTATTTAGTTCTTAGTATTTTTTTGTTGTCACAAGCATTCTGCCCGAGAAAGACAAGTCAAATACTTGAATTATTGGCTGCAATGAAATTCCCTGCATACTGAAGCTTTAGCCCACACACACGAGGACACAGTTTCGTCTGTGTCCTCGTGTGTGTTCGCTAAAGCTTCAGTATGCAGCAAAATCATCTAGCCTGTCTTTCCATACTACTGACATTTCGTGTTCAGCAATGACTTATCAGTCGAAGCCCCCATCCTCCTCTGAGTCTGTTGTGCGGCATCGCATTTGCCATACAACCCTGAGCAAGCTCCCTCTTACCTTTCTTGCGACATTTCAAATATGCAGCAATGACCATGCAATTGTCCTCACAACTTAGCTACCACCATTCTTTTCTTCAACCTCTTCTCTGCCATTACCTCGAGTTTGGAGAGTGCACAATTTCTTTGTACATTTATGGTCTGGTGCCTTGGGTTCGCCTTCCGAGTTATCACAAAACCTTGAAAGATTTGGAAAATGCCTTGCCCCTTTGTCATAACACTGAAAGTTTCGCACGAGGATTTCCTCTTGTTCAGTGAATACAGTGAATGTATGCATAATAAATAAAGCATTTCATTTGAAGTACAGATGTGTATTCTTATTAAAGGCTCTTCTGCTGCCATCTTGAATTTTGGTTCATGACCTAGGAAATCGCCCACCTCCAAATCTTGTCCACAAAATTGTTTTGCCATAGGGGGGGGGGCTTGCTTGTGATTTCGCGATAGTACTCTAACTTCATTATAACAAAAGTGCATGTTGCATGAAAATAAGTTTGTTATATCCAAAAGTTTGTTATAAAGGTTAATTTCGAACTCTATAGCTATTGTAAGAGTTTTCATTTACTTTGTTACAGCCAATATTTTGTTATATCCGGGTTCATTATAACGAGGTTTGAGTTACTGGACACATGAGACATGTCGTTATTGTGTGTTGTGTGTGAACCATCAGCCAACGGCAGACCATAGCTGGTCTCTTTATTTATTGGTCTCATGTTTTGTGCTGCGCAGAAAAAAGTGCCAGAGCTGGCCCTGTTCCACAGCTTACAAGAGTGCCACAAGAATGTGGGCAGCCAGACACTGCTCGGGTAAGTGTTTTTGCTGTCTACTTTGTTTACTCATTATTGTTGTGCTGGAAACCTTATTAGGAATTTTATATAGCAGCTGATGCTTGTTGAAATACACAGAGCTGATTTAGTGCAAGAAAATGAAGTCATGTTTCATTTTCATTTAATTTCTTAATACTGTAATGCCTGTTTAGTTCTATTACAGGAGTGGAAGATACAACGTAAACATACTGTCAATTTTGCTGTCAACATACTGCTTAGATTATCAGATACTTTTCAATGGCGCTGCTGGAGATGACACACAAGTACACATCAAAAGATGCCACGAGAGTAAGGTGTGTTACCATGGCATTGCACATCCTCTTGATGCGACACAACTACATTGTCCGGATCGAGAGAGCAAACATAAACACTGCCTATTGGCATTGATATCATCGTCGGACTATTTTGTGTTGACAGCAGGACAAAAGCATGATATTTTTATTTTATCACTGGAAGAATATTTATCAAAACTCTGCTATATTGCATGTTGCATGAAAATAAGTTTTTTATATCCAAAAGTTTGTTATAAAGGTTAATTTCGAACTCTATAGCTATTGTAAGAGTTTTCATTTACTTTGTTACAGCCAATATTTTGTTATATCCGGGTTCATTATAACGAGGTTTGAGTTACTGGACACATGAGACATGTCGTTATTGTGTGTTGTGTGTGAACCATCAGCCAACGGCAGACCATAGCTGGTCTCTTTATTTATTGGTCTCATGTTTTGTGCTGCGCAGAAAAAAGTGCCAGAGCTGGCCCTGTTCCACAGCTTACAAGAGTGCCACAAGAATGTGGGCAGCCAGACACTGCTCGGGTAAGTGTTTTTGCTGTCTACTTTGTTTACTCATTATTGTTGTGCTGGAAACCTTATTAGGAATTTTATATAGCAGCTGATGCTTGTTGAAATACACAGAGCTGATTTAGTGCAAGAAAATGAAGTCATGTTTCATTTTCATTTAATTTCTTAATACTGTAATGCCTGTTTAGTTCTATTACAGGAGTGGAAGATACAACGTAAACATACTGTCAATTTTGCTGTCAACATACTGCTTAGATTATCAGATACTTTTCAATGGCGCTGCTGGAGATGACACACAAGTACACATCAAAAGATGCCACGAGAGTAAGGTGTGTTACCATGGCATTGCACATCCTCTTGATGCGACACAACTACATTGTCCGGATCGAGAGAGCAAACATAAACACTGCCTATTGGCATTGATATCATCGTCGGACTATTTTGTGTTGACAGCAGGACAAAAGCATGATATTTTTATTTTATCACTGGAAGAATATTTATCAAAACTCTGCTATATTGCATGTTTGCTCCACAGCAAACAGGGTGTCCCAGCAACTAAGTAGTTTGGAACTATCATCATTTGTGCCTGGATTTCTCTAATTAGACTTCACTAAGCCTTGTTATGCTTGCAATATTTGAATACATTCTTGAATCCAACACAAATCAAAGAGTGAGTACCTAATTAGATTCATATTCGCAAATTGGAACATTCACAAGAGGAGCGAAATATATGAAGAGGAAATGCAAGAACATTTATGAACCTCTAGCGTAGGTGATATCCAAGAAGGTGATTCACAAACACTTGCCCCTTCTAATAGTTTTATCTGCCATAGGATAATCATGAAAAATATAGCATATGTCATTTTCTGACCAATATTTGCAGAGGAATGTGTAGTTGTTGACCTATGGTGTCATTTGTGTTCATGTAACTTTTCTTTGGATATACTGAGCGCTTAAGATATATTCTGCTTCACAAAGTGCGAATGAATGTCCCTACTCTAATTATTATGACTGATGCATGATCACTGATGTCAGTGTATCCTATTAGACAAGTAAGTTGCCCGAACTGCCTCTTGAAATTATAGACCTCTTGGAATCAAATAAATGTATTGTTGTTAATATCCAAACATGCAATTGGCTCTGTATGGCGAATGTCTTACTGGAAATGGGATAACATTCATATAGAAAATTCAAAATATTTGCACCACCAGTTATGAGCTTCTTCAATTGCAAAATAACACAACATTCATATTTGCAGTGTTGAGAAAAATACCAGAGCTTAGGAGCATCTGTGAATGTTGCAGTGGACTGTTTCTCTGTTTTTCCGATGGAAGTGAAATTGCATGAGGCCCATGTATTTAGATTTAGGAGTATGTTGATGAAGCAGTTATTCTTATACGTGACTCTGTTTTGGTTTCCCTTTCACTTTTAACAGTGTACTAGGCTGGCTTGCAGAGCTGCTGTTCTTGTTGGTTATTGTTTTGCCCTCCCTGTGCAGCCAGGTGCTGTTGGACTGTGCTGGGCTGCAGCAGCGACTGGGACAGGAGCTGCTCAACTACGAGCGTGAGACTGATCGGCAGGTCCTCCAGCCCACCAACCAGCTTCTTGAGGTGGGCGTTCTCTTTCTGTGCGTCCTCGATGGCATGCATACAGTTGCTAATAAGGCGGCAATGGAGGCTAGTTGGCACCTCTTCATACTCGTGATGCGCTGCAGGATAAGGAGAAAAAGCTGCTCGAGCACTCTGTGTCATCTCCGTTATTTTTTTTTTTTACCCCGCTGCACATCACGAGCATGAAGGCATACAGTCGCATACAACTTAAAAAGGTCATCAATGGCCCCTCAAGCTTAGCGAGAAAGCCCATCTTGCAGGTTAGAGAAGTTACTACGAAAGGTCTGTCTATTGCGGTCAATCGGTGTTTATTGATCAGCGGCTGACTCGAAGGTCGCAGGTTCAATCCCATAAGCGGCAGTCGCTTTGCGATGGAGGCGAAATGCTAGGGGCCATGTTCAGTGCTGTGTCAGTGAATGGTAAAAGAGCACCCAATGATAGAAATTTCCAGAGCCCTCCTCCCCAGCGTCTCTCATATTCTGGTTTTGGGGTGTAAAACCTCTCAGTGAGTGAAGCAGACTTGTGTGGCAAAGAGTTTACAAGTAGAGCATCAAGTTGTCATTTTCTCCCACAACCTTTTTTCACACAGCTAGAAGAACCACAGCAGGGGCTAGTGGGTCTTACACTCAACCTTCATTACAGCAAAGTTCCATCTTACATGAAAATAAGTACATTATGATATGAAAACTTGATATAAGGGTTTATTCCCGAAACTATATTTATTGCTAGACTATTTTGCATTCACTTCATTATAAGAAATATTTCGGTATATCCAAGTTAGTTATATTGAGATCTGAGTGTAGATAGTTGACACTTTCATACAGAAGCCTGGGCATGTTATTTTCAAAGCTACCAGCACCTGCTGTTTCACATCTCCTGCTGTTTCATAGCACACTATTGCCTCATGCCAACGTACACCAAGAGTGGCATTTGGATTAGATGAGAACTAAAAGTCAATGAGGCCAATGGAAGTATATTTATTAGTGCTAATGCAAATGTTAACAAAGAAAAGTGCCCGAAAAGATCACTTGCCACTGGCAGGGACAAAACCTGCAATCTTCTTATATCATGATGCGAGTATAGAGTTTTGAGCCAGCCTCATCTACCTCTAAGGAGAAAACAACGCTGATTTCTACCCAAATATTGAATCTGAAGATCAGCATGAGGACAGCGACATTTCATGCACAAGAGGCTTTGCTGTGAGATAGAAGAGATGATGATATGTGGGGCTCAACATCCTAAAACCACCATATCATTATGAGAGACATCGTAGGGGAGGGCTCTGGTAATTTCGACCAGCTGGGATTCTTTAACGTGCACTGAAACCTGAGTACACGGACCTACTGCATTTTCGCCTGCAGAAATAGAAGAGAGAGATATTTCAAAAGCCTTGGCGTTTTTATGGTATTCCAGTTGCATGAACTCATGTTGAAGTAAAAGGTAGCAAGTGGACTCGGTTACTGTGTTGCCATGCAAATGGACTTGGGGTTGCAAAAGAGTAAAGACATTTCTAGTGCTGTCGAGTTGAATATGTTGTGTGAAAGGACAATGCATTGATAATGTGTTAATTTTAGTTCTGACAAACAATCATCATCATTGAAGGTTGTGCCTCATCAATGGCAATTTTCGTTATGGCACTGTCGGAGCTGCATAAATTGGAAAACCCGTCGTCACAGTCTTTGATGCTCTAGATCTGATGGCTTCGAAAGAGACAGTTAAAGGGATACTGAGGAAAATTTTTGTCGCCAAGATATTCAACCAAATCGATAAATTGGGTCCTGAAATCGTTAGAAGCAACCTTCATTCCTGGCAGAAACTACGAGAAAATAATGAACTTAATGCGTCTCTCACAAACTGCCACATCTAGCAGCAGTGCTGGGAACTAGAGAAGGTGTCGTTTGGTGATACCACACACACACACAAAAAAAAGCAAGCCAGAATGCCAGCCATCACCAGCATCTTTAGACTCCCTCAACTCCCACTTCAGTTCCCAAAACCGGTATGAACAGCAACAGCAGCAAACAATGCTTCTGGCTGTGACAAAGCGCCAGCAATTTTGTGGAAGGGAAAGAGTGAGATGAGAGGAGAGGTGGAGAAAAAGAAGAGGGAGACGAGCATTGTGCGTCCTGCATGAGCCTCGGTGATTGTGACATCATGGCTCACGCTCGCGAGCATCAGTCGTGCACTGACAGTCGATCAAAAATACGGGAAATTGACAGTGTTTATCGGAACAGTCGCATCTTCCGAGTTGAATTACGAAGTTTCATCAGTTTTCCCAATTTTTGTTCGGTATTCCCTAATGTCAATATAAATTCAAAAACATTGGAAGAAGCATTAGTTTAAGCATATGGTCAGACAAAGCAAATGCTCATGTCTTGCTTTCCTGGTGGAGAGCAGATCAAGTTACTTTACGTAATTACAAAGGCTCCAGTAGAAATCGTCAAAATTCCTGACATTTGAATGAGCTATGGTAGGACACAAGAAGTCGGGAGAGACCCCACCCAGATAACCGAAGTAGAGCAGCCGATCACCTCATTGACGAAAGAAATAGCCCCGTCCCTGCATTCTGCAACATTCTCTGCAGTGCGGGGTCAACATCCGTCCGGCTCATGATGTCAGTCTGGAGTACATGCCCATTTGTGCAGGCTTGTGCGCCTTTGTGGAGGAAATGCAGCTGACTTCTAAAGTTGCAACTGACTATAGTGTGCGTGCTGCCAACCCATGTTTTCTTTTTACATGCTTATTGGTGGCAAAGTACCATTCTTTCAGTGAGGGTGGTTGTGGAAGTATAACTTACTCATATTCAAATACAGTGGACTCCCAATAAACGGAACTCCCTTAAATAAATATGCCTCATTCACGGAACAAAACGGGCTTATATGGCTGGATTTCTATGTGTTCTGCAGTGAAATTCTACGGTTATTCGAAACAGGGCTTATTGGTCACCTACGGTTTAACGGCACAAACTCTAAACAGAGCATAGACTCGCTCATGCCAAAGGTAGTCTCACAACCATGGCAATGTTTTGAGATCGAGACAAGCCAATCCAGTTGCCATTTTCGCTTGTGGCTATGGGAGCAGAGTCGGCGAGTCAATTGTGCATTAGGCCTATTTGTGGGGCTAAGTGCGGTGGATCACAGTGTTATATCAGCCAGATAGAAAGGAAGCAGCCGCACCATGCACTCTCGCTTGAAAAAAAGTCGCAACTTTTTCTGGAGCTCGATCGAAACAGCCTGCCCAAGACGGAGGTGGCGAAAAAATACATCCCGAAATCGACTCTGTCGCAGATCTGGAAAGACAGAGAAAAGATTAAAGGCACGGTTAAGAACTGACCTTTACATCTAAACGGATGTGGACGACACCTTGTAAACAACTAGAAAAAGTTCTTTTTCTGTTGTTCAAGGGTGCACGGAGTTCCAATTTGCCTAAAAGCGGACCAATTCTCGAGCAGAAAGCTCGAGAGATTGCCATGAAAAGAACTTTGTCTTAAGCGATGGATGGCTCAGCCGCTTCAAAACACACCATGGCCTAGTCTTGATGCAGTCAACAGGGACATTTGCACCGACTGGCAACAGAGGCGGCTTAAGAAAATTTCGACGAGCTTTGAGCCACGAGATGTCTTCAACGTCAACGAGATGAGTCTTTATAAGGTGCTTCCATCAAAGACTCTCACCTTAAAAGGCAAAGCCTGAAGTGGAGGAAAACGCAGTAAAGAACGCGTCACTGTGCTAGTGGGTGCAAACATGGCAAGAGATAATAATTGAAGCTGTTAGTAATAGGAAAATCAAGGCACCCACATTGTTTCAAAGGCGTTCGACACCTTCCCGTTGCGTATTATGCAAACGGAAGAGCAAGGATGACCATGGCCATTTTCTAAAACTGGCTTTGGGAGGAACACGCACGATTTACGAGGCAATGCAGGAAGGTTGTCTTCATCGTGGATAATTGCACAGCCCATGGTCAGGTTCAAGAACTCCAAGCCATCATCCAAGCCAATGCAAAGGCAGTGATCCAGCCGATGGATCAAGGGGTTATTCAGAACACTAAAGTTCAATACCGCAGACAATTGCTCCATCAAATGCTACTTAGAGCAGGCAGTGGGAAATGCTACAGCATAGATTTATTGGCAGCCATCCACATTCTGGCTTGTGCCTGGGAGCAAGTAAAGGCAACAACAATACACACATGCTTTCACCATGCTGGCTTTCAAGCGCAAGAAAGCAGTACTTGATGAAGAAGAAAGCCCTGCTGATGCCGACATTGAGACAGTATTCAGTCAGGTCGTGCCCTCTGCCCTTTTCAGGCTGCAGGACGAGAATCAATTGATGAAAATGTTTGTACCTGTCCTGAAGAGACCGTCAAGGAAATGATTGCTGAGATGCAAGATGAGGATCAACCTTCCAGCGATGAATGCGATGACAGTACTGCCAGTGCAGTGGTGCCACCAGACTGATTAGCTAAAGAGGCTGTTGATCTTTTGCCGCGCTAATTTGAGCATGAGGCTTGTCCAGAATTTCCAGCTAGTTTTGTCAGGCATGGTTGCGTACCTTGTGAAAAAAACAACTCAAGCTTGCCAAGCAAACCACTCTTCACTCCTTTATCTCTCCCATGCATCCTCATGAGTAAGGTGAGGTTTGTGTGATTTGAATAAAGGTCTTAGTTCACTAAATAAGCGTACTTTGCTTAAATGAAACTTGATGAATGGAACAGTTTTATGGATTCCCTTCGAATTCCGTTTAAGAGGAGACTGCTGTAAAATTGTTCTTCTATTGGGTGCCTCTTTTTGATGGCATATTGTTTGACCAATATATTCGGCGGGGCACTGTCCCTGCAGACGGACCTGCCCAACATCTCCAAGCTGCGGAGGCAGTTGTCCAAGCTGACACTGGACATGGATGCTGCAAAGAACAGGTGTGTCCACCCGTCTCTCAAGCATGCTTTTGCGCTGATTGTTTTGCACCGTACGTACAGTGAAGTGCAAGCTGTGGTTAGGGTAGTGGAACGTGCAATCAGGGGGTCAATGGACGTTTCACCGCTGTATTTGCACCTTTATTTGTTAGCTGCAAAAGATTTGCCCTTAGCTGATGAAGATATGTTCTCCTAGGTCAGAGCTGTTCCACTGTTAGCATTGGTGTGTTTTGTTTTCCTTTTATTACTGTGACAGTGTGATTAACATTTAAGATCACTTTTGCACTACATGGATAAATTGATAAGCACTATTGTTGCTGCAAGTTTTCATCACTTGGCTCCTCTGTCTGTTACAAGTAAATAAATGTACACGAAAAACAAATGGGAAAGTTAGTGCTTCTGGTTCCAATGATGGACATACATTTTACAAAAAGTGGGGCCGATTATGCAATCGGCATAGCTGGCACTTGGTTTGCTCTTTGGGAAACACATGGTATCAGCAATCTGCCGTCATGGTCACAGACCATGGCGGCTGTGATGAACAGGACTAATTAAAAGGGCATTTTTATTATGTGAGTGAAGACTAGTTTCTCATCCTACATGCACTGCTGAGAGAATGGCCTTCAAATAGCGTCAACTCTGTCTTCAACTTTTGCTTGCAGGTACCAGACGGCCCTGAAGCACGTCCAGCAGTCCGGCAACCTGGCGACTACCGGTGGTGGTGCAGCGGGGAGCACCGGCGGTGTGGGCAATGCGGTTGGGGGCAATACAAACGTGACCACCAAGACTGAAGGCCTGCGCGAAGAAGCTGAGGACGCTACCAGCAAGGTACGTGGACGGTTCTGAACACCATATTCCTACCATCAGGCAACAAAATTGCTGCAATGATACAATGTGGTGCTGACAGTACTCTCCTGCCCCTCCTCTTCATTGCATACTATTACCATTCAGGAAAATCAAGACAGGTTGAAAAAGAAAATGTGATTGAGGAAATGGGTGTCAAATGTTCAGTTTTGCAATCAGTGGGGGGTATTTCAGGGACGATGTAATGCAATTTTTTTTCCCTTATTTTTGCTGGTTAATGTGCACCCTGGCTTTAATGTGGATATTGAAATAACTTCGGTGTCTAACATCTTGCAGGGCCCAGAGGGATGACATCAATCCGCTGCGGGGGTTTAGTGATTATGGTACTCACCTGGCAACCTGAAGGTCGCAGAAACAGCTGTGGCGGCTGTATTTTTGATGGAGGAGAAAATGCTTGAGGCCTGTGAATTTGGATATCGATGCTTGTGAAAAAACATCAGGGGTGAAAAAGTCATGCATGCTTCCAGTAAGGTGCCTTTTATATTCATATTGTGTTTTTGAGACGTTGAACCATAGAGTTTCTACAAACATACCTAGAGGGAAGTTGGGCGCCACCATCTATGCACATTTTTAAGGAGCCCGTTGGAGCGCTGGGAATGACAGTATATGTGTCTGCGAGGCTTGTGTTGGCTGGTGTTCAACGAGGCTACTGCTCAAAAGTGAATACGGCTGCATAAATATAGCTTCTCCAAAACAAAGCGTTTTAAATGGATCTCATTCACCCCTATTATATTATAAAACAAAAATCCACTTGCCTTCACTGCACAACCAAACGGCGAAAGAAAGAAACAGACGACATGAAGTGGCAGACAGAACACTCACTTTGTCATCTGCCTGCCAAGTTTAGCGGCCGTTGGTTACTTCTTACACTTTGTAAAATTGTAAATCAATGCAGAAGGTTTCAATGTTAAATAGAACATGTTTTTGTGCAATGGCCGGAAATAAATAGCCTGTTATGTGCTCTTTTAAGTAAAAAAAATCAACCATTTTAACATGAACTGACACGCGTCTTCAAGGTATATACGAATTCGAGTGAAGTTCGGAGCTCACACATTCCATCATTTGCTTGCATTCAGCAGCTCACTTACGCTATATTTTCCTCTAGGTAAGTTTGTGAAAAACTTTGTATGTAATCACAACATTTACTGTTATTACAGAGAGAAGACTTCGTAAGTCTAGCTGTCATGGTAGCTTGGCATTTTAAGTGTTACATAATTGAAATGGAACACCTTGGTTGATTTCCAGCCATAGTGCTTCTGCTCTGATGAAAACTATCTGCAACAACACCATTGTACTTAACTTTAGGTGGTCAATAACGAAAAAAGAAAGTATCCGTGCGGACGGAAACCTACAAGGGAAAAGACATGCACTCAATGTGATGGTTCGTGCCCTTCAGACACGAATAATTGATACAAGTACGAAAAAACATTTATCGACTTCGCACAATTACAAACAGTCTGATTGGCCAAACACTACACACATCACTAAGGTCCTAAACCTACACTTCCCAGCCTACACACGCAAGCGTTTTGGTGTATCCCAAAGTCTAAGGTCGTCTCACATCACTTTCGTGACCCATGGGTGTCGATGACACAAGCATGAACCAGTAGAAGCCTGACAAGTCGCACTAGTCTGAACAATGAAGTTGTGCGATGGCACATGAGCAGAAGATGAACTGCTTTCCCTGGAACTAATAATAGGCCATGCCTTCAGCTCCGGGTGGCGACAAACCTGTTCGTACGTGGCTCCATGACCATGATCTTTTCCACTTGTTGTGCTGGACCCGTTGTAACATGACACCAAGGCCATGATTCCCGCCACTAGAACGGGGTCAAGTGCTCGCCCTGGCTGCTCGCTCGTTCACTGCTGGAACAGCATCACTAAGCCCGGTCTGGAACATTCGCTCGTCCTCAGGATATGCCAAGCTCGCCACGGCTGGCCTGGTAGCACCGGCGCGGTCCCTTTTGGTCCCTCAGGTTGAACGGACTGCTCTCTTGCTAGTGGCCATGCTCTCTAGTGTGTCAATGCCCTCCAGCTCACGTGCACCACGTTCCTTTGTCTCACGCACACACCTTCGTCGTACTCAGTTCTTTTCCACTTTTGGTTTGCTCTTTCAGTTTCAGTTTCATTCTAATTTCATATAGCGAGTTTTGGCTATAGCATTTTATTTTTCGAATTTCGTGTGGTTTGTTATAACAAGGTTCGACTGTGGATGTTTTCTGCATTTAGTCTGAAAGTCAATTTTCTTAGTTTTTTGGTGATACGAAATTTTAGGTGACACAAGTATTTCTGCTCCCCCCTGAGATTCACATGGCTGACATTCTTCTGTAATTTAATTGATATCAGAATTATTAGGAGTGTACTGCACAGATGTGGCATAGCTCTAGGTGCAGTGATTAAGGAGAGGTGCCTCGTTTGTCAAATGTATATGACATATCTATCAATAATATTTCTTTTTGTTTTCTACATGTATATTGGTGTGTTCACAGTAGTCACTTTCATGCATCCAGGTGGAGCAGTGTCGGGACGCCCTGGCTGCAGAGATGTTTGGCCTGATCGGGAGGGAGCCCGAGTTTGCGCACCTTCTGGTCCAGTGGTACCAGCTGCAGGCCGAGCACCACCGGCGGGCCCTGCAGCACATTGACGCCGCCCTGCCCGGCCTCTGGGGGCTCATTGGTAGGGCTTCCATGAATAGCAGTTTGGGATATTTAGTGTAGCGTCATCTTCAAACAGTTGACACATGTGAAGGCACATTCAACTCAAGAACTAATTTGTTGTCAGTTCTTCCGGGTGCCTTTTGAGTGTTTGTGCACTGTTTGAAGATTACACCTTCCGATAATTGACACGACACATATGTCGTGTACGCTCACACCAGCCGACACATGGCCACTCCAAGTGTTGTGCCTCGCTTGCAGGTGCAGCCAACGCGCTCATGCTCGCGTGATGCCGGATCATGCGATCCTCTTTTCCCACTCTCCCACCTCTTACGCTCACTTCAAACAGTAATAAAAGCAGTTTCCCGCCAGCCGCCGTCTCGTGTGGTCTCTGCGACGTGAAGCCCCGATGTCCCGACTTAACAATACAGTGAAACCTCGTTAAACCGTACCCGCGTAAACAGTAGTTTCTTTTTAAAAGTAGTGAAGTCAAATGCCTGACTCGGCGGCCTTTGAACATAATGTATTTTGTATCTGCCGAAGCCGTACCAGCTTATCGCGTATGTATCGGTTAATAAGTAGTTTTTCCAATTTTCGTTGCGCACTCGCCGCAACATGTCGTCCCCCACTGGGCGTCCGGACAGAACAGCAAGCCCCAGAGATCGAAACACGCCTCGCTTGTTTGTGTTGATATGATGGCAGCTGTGTTGGTGAGCGCCATCTCTTGGATTTTTTTTGCAACAAGAAGCACTTGGCCGGCTAGGCTTCTGTTGTTGTCCACGCGATGGCGCTTTGCACAAACATGCAAACACGGTGTGCGCTTGCTTTGCTTTCTTTGTTCCTTTGGCGCCGTGCATAGGTGTTCTCTGGTTGATCTGTGCCGTACAGCTCTCGCGTCGTTTTTGACGTGTTGTGTATGTGTGCTTGTACTGCTTCGTACTTGCGTCATGTCGAAGCTGGAACAAAAGCATCGAGTGCTGAAAATAGAGGAGAAATTGGACATAATTTGTGCTATTGAAAGTGGCACGAAAAAATCGGCGCTGGCACGCGAAAAGGACCTGCCATTAACCACGGTGTGTGGAATTTGGAATTCCAAAAAGAAGTTGTTCGGCAGTGCTGCTGCAACTGCGAAAGGGTGCCGGCTGCACGGTTCGGTGTTTTCGGATGTAGAGGAGGTGCTGGTGAAGTGGCTAAAAGCTGCCCGGTCAAAAAATCTGTCTATCAGCAGACCCCTGCTCATAGAGAAGTCCCTGGTTTTTGCCTTGCAGCTCAACCATGACAACTTCGTGTGCAGCAATGGCTGGCTGGCCAGATTTAAGGCGAGGCACGGCATTACCACGAGGACTGTTTCGGGAGAAGGTGCTGCTGCTGACGTAGATGGCACGGAGCAGTGGCAAAATGGTCAGCTGAAGAACATCTTGGAAGACTACGCACGTGATCACATCTTTAATATGGATGAATGGGCACTATTCTTTAAGCTTCTACCAGACAAAATGCTCGCGTTCAAAGGCGAGACGTGCACCGGCGGCAAACATGCAAAAGACAGAATATCAGTGGCGTTTTGCGTAAACATGACTTCAACCGACAAAACTCCGCTCCTGGTGATTGGAAAGTCGGCGAAGCCTAGATGTTTCAAAGGCGCCCGGTTGCCATCAGGGGTCATTTATCGCAGCAACACCAAAGCATGGATGACAGCAAAACTCTTTGAGGGGTACGTGCGCCTCATCGATCGTCGTTTTGCGGCTAAGAACAGAATAGTTGTTATTATTTTAGACAACACTTCGGCGCACGTCGCCCTGGACAACCCGACGGCTGTGAAGTTGGCGTTTCTGTCACCAAACACAACAGGGATTGCCCAGCCCTTGGACCAAGGCATCATTCGAGCTGTAAAACGGCTCTACAAGAAGAATCTGCTGCGCAGGTTTCTTCTCGCCATAGAATGTGGCAAATTATTCTCTATCGACCTGAGTGGCGTGATTCACCTGCTCGAATACTCGTAGCGGCAGGTTGAAGCAACGACAGTTCAAAATTGCTTCAACCGTGCTGGCTTCAGTGTGTGTGCGGGCGACGCAGATGACGCCAGTGACACCATCGACCAGACTTCGGACATCGTAGACGAAGCTTGCAAAACTCTGCTAGCTGAAGTGCTGGAGCGGCCGGGCGTTACGGAACGCATTTCCTTTCCCGACTTCAGAGATGCAGACAGTGATGTGCAGACATATCTGGACATGTCCGACGAAGCCATTGTTTCCTCGGTTGTCGAAGTGTCGCCGAATGATAGTGATGAGGACGACATGGAAAGCGACAACACGGGTGATCCAGGTCCGACAATGGCCGAAGCTGCGCATTGCATCAGCGTCATGCGGGTATTTGCCGAGAAGAGGGGGCTGGCGGAAAAGCTGGCTCACAGCAAAAGTGAGTTTGAGGCGGCTGTCGTTGCTGCTAGGCCGCCGCATCTTCAAATGAAGATTACAGACTTTGTCACGCGAAGTTAATAAATTACTGCACGTTTTTTGTTGTTTCATCGCACTCCCTGAAGGTTTCTTTTTTGACAGGTAAGTGAGCGACCTGACGCTATTTCGGTTAAGCAGTACTACCGTTTAGTACGTACTTTTTCCGAGCTCCGGCCAACTACGGTTTAATGAGGTTTCACTGTATACTCTCAGCTAATGGTCTGCTACTCCCCTCAACTTGGTAGTCTAAATGGTAAAAAATAAAAAAAATTTCACCAGCAAATGGCAGCGTCGTCGTGTCTCGTGTACGGTGCATTTGGCGGCAGCCACTAGACGGAAATAGCTGTCCTGCGGCTTCGTCATGCGTCCATCTGTGAGCCTTGAGCGCACTGCACTATCTGGGATATCTTGCCACTTTTCTCACCTGTGCCACTGATTTTTTGTGCTGCTGTTCACTTGACGGCTGCCTATATCACAACCGCTTCTGATGAAATAGAAAAAAAAATTGCTTGACGAGATGCGATGCTGCCTTCAAACTTCAAAGTGCCGCATAGGAGCTTTAAGACCACCAGGATTTCCAATGCCATGGTTGGTATTCAGGACAATGGCATACACGAACATGTAGATGACCCGAGCAGCAATATCGATGAAGAGATCTAGCTAGGATATTCGCAGCAAGATGCCAGATATATCGTCGTTGGGTATATATGGCACGTTTAGCTAGATTTTTGCATACACGGATCTAAAGTTCAACAAAAATTAAACACTTGCATGTGAGAGCCACACCCCAAAGTTCTGAAAAAAAAAAGTGCAGCCCTCACACGAGTCTACATGGTAACTTTCAACCTAACTTAACTACAGCTCAAGGGTAGTTAGGTGGCTGCACTGGTTATGGTACTCCAGGACCTTTTGTCTGATCTTAGTATAATGAAAAAAAAATGTCGGAATCGCCTAACCGCTGTCTCTGTCCAATGGACATAGGCTTACAATAAATGTCAAGTGTAGCCAAGTGTTTGACTGTCAACCATTACTTCGTTGTATGGCAAGGTTTCACAGTAGTAGGGCATCTTTTGAGAAACCACGAGAAAAGTTGCTGTAATACTCTGGGAAAGTCTGGTGCAGTCATGCTGTTAAACACTTTCAGAAGTGCATTAAGATAACAAAGGCAAGTCATTATGCATGACTCATCCTTTGGAAGACATACAGTTGAACATTAGTGCTTGATGGGGACAGCTCTAAGGTTTTCATGACAAAAAGTTTGAAGTGATGGATTTGGCAAAAGCATGTGATCCGTCTTCTAAATTACCAAAAAGAGTTTACGACATGTAGGAGAGTACTTTTCTGAAGCAACTTCATTTCTGACAAATTTCATTCGACTAGCACCAGGCACATTGACGTATCTTGGGGGAGGGTGTGGTGTTTTATCACAGTCATCCATGAAACGCATATGGTACTATGACAGAAACTATCTTCCACATGCAGTGACTGAAAGACCGATCAATCGACAGTGTGGCCCAATTATGTCAATACGTTTCTACATGCATGCTTGCTACGCCCTGGTCACTCAGTATTTCAATTATGATTGTGCTGCCATTGCACATGGGTGAAAGCAGTGTCTCAGTGCATGCACCCAATCCTTGTTCACACAGAGGGACAACACGAGCTTGATTGGTTTTTTACAGTCCATTGCTAGAGTGCTGCGTGGTCATTTTCAAGTTGTATAGTTGCCCCGCCGCGGTGGTCTAGTGGCTAAGGTACTCGACTGCTGACCCGCAGGTCGCTTGTTCGAATCCCGGCTGCGGCTGCATTTCCGATGGAGGCGGAAATGTTGTAGGCCCGTGTGCTCAGATTTGGGCGCACGTTAAAGAACCCCAGGTGGTCGAAATTTCCGGAGCCCTCCACTACGGCGTCTCTCGTAATCATATGGTGGTTTTGGGACGTTAAACCCCACACATCAATCATTCAAGTTGTATAGTTGCTTGTGATACACTTGCAAACCTTATGGTATCGAAGTGGGGTCTGACATTAATATGCTCTTTTTATATCCTGAAATTTATTACAAATGTAATATTGTATTTATGACAAAACTAATCAGCATTATCATCATTATTTTCATTCATTACTCCTTAAAGGCCCCTCTTGGGGTATTACATAAGGGGGAGCATGCAACATAAGGGGGAGCATGCATGCAAAAAGAATGTTGAAAGAGACATGAATTAAGCAAATACAATAAAAGCAACATTTATTTTATTATAACTGCTGATATGCTAGAGCCATAATTAGATATAACTGATAATTTATTACACAGAGGTCTGACTGTAATCTCTTACATAGCATTTTTTATTTACCAGTTTTGGTTTGGGATTTGGATAGGTCACTGTAAAAATACTTTATTGATGTAATACTCAAATTTTCAGGAAACTCCCCCCAGAAGCCAGTGTTTGGCTTTCCTCTGGAGGAACACCTTCGCGTAAATGGGCGTCGCATCGCCCTTGTGGTCGAGAAGTGCACTGTCTGTCTGCTTGCCTCCGGCATGGATGAGGAGGTAAGACACGCTTCTGACCACACTGTTGCACCCGGCTGATCTTACACTCTTTGTGGGCTCGTGCGAGGGGTCGGTGAATTTCAGCATTGAAATTAGGCTTGTGCGAATATTTTAATGTTTCCAATATTCGCACAAATAGTAGACTATCTGAGTTTGTTCGATTTGAATGTAAATTTTGAAATTTTTTAAGTATTCCCAATGAATGAATAGATGTACATTAGTCTGCATGTAACCGCTTGTAAAGATGGTTTCACTGCACTGTAGAAGGTGCTCAACCATGAAAAAAATCTTTTCAGGGGAAATCCACTCTGCCATGAAGCCCCCCCTTCGAATTTAAAGGGGTGCTGCAACACTTTGTGAGCATAGTCAGAAAACGCTGCCGATCGGTAGCGGAGGCTCTCCACAACACGCGAGCCAAATATTATAGTGCAGCGCGCGCCCTGCGATTCTCAATAAATTCTCAGTCAGCTAAAAATTGCTTTCTTCTCCCAGCAAATGATGTCACTAGCTCAAAAATTACTTGTCTCACAGCCGTTGTATCAGCCAAGAGTTGATTTGATCATGATGATGAAAAACTTTATTACATCTATGGAGGAACAGGTGGAGTCTCTAGTCCAGGACTCCATTGGTCTGCGCCCCAGTCCTTGCGTGGGCCACTAGGGCCTCTTGGACCCCCTGGTTCGGGTTGGACAGGGCCACTTCCCATCCATCTCCACTAAAATTCTTAAAGACATCTGTTTTAGATGTATTGCTATGGCACTCCCATGCTATATCATTGAGTGTAACTAGATTAGTGTCGCACAGCCTACATGTGGGTGTGGGGTACTAGTCAGGGTCGATTTTTGAGTGTACGTGTGGGTTGGCATACGATAACATTTGTAAGTGGTGCCAGGCTACCTGTGCGGCTTTATTGAGTTGAGGATGCGAGGGGGGGGGGAGGGGGGAGGTTATATTCTCCAAGCATGCCTTAGGGCTGATTTGAGCTTGGCACGCTCGGTCGTTACTGGGGCCGCCATGGGAGGCCGCCACTTGTCCACACATATGTGTGATTGCTCTGGAAAGCCCCATATTCGAGGAGAAAACAAAGAGGTAAAAAGTGCTCGAAGTCATAAGGCATGCGTGACGTATTTTCTTTCCCTGTGCCTGCCCTTCCTGCGTAGCTTCCAGCGTTCTCGTTGGGACAAGAAGAGAGAATGAAATTGCAGCCTGCGACAAATCTTTGCAACTCCACTCATACTGGACGAATTCTTAAAATTTTTGGGGCGGTTCATTTGCGAGGCAATAAGCTTTTTTAGTAAATCCATCCCATGGCTACTTCAAGGAGTGTTGCAGGGCTCTTTTGGATGAACATATTACCCTTAAATTAATTCATCATTTTATTAAGCCCAAAGGGGCAGTGCAATCAAATTTGGAGGCTAAAGCAAGCCTCTTGTGAGTTTCCTCGGTATGCTAGTAGGACAATCCGCACAAATTGGTCGGACACAGCAAACATTTGAAATATTTTTGAATTCACCTCCAAAGTGTGCCTAAATGCTTATTCTCCTGAGCAAAGCCCATCGCAAGTTCGTTTATTTCTGTCGTAGCTCTCTAGGAAGGCCAACTAAAGTTGCAGTGACATCACACCGGACCTGTAATGAGGTGTGCGCAGGTTTTCCTTCCAGGAGGAACAAAGGTTGATCGCAGTGCACCTTTTTCCTATTATGCCAACATGTGGGGCTGTGTTTGCACAACCCCCCTTAGGTGACTATGGGAATGGCCGCCCCCTTACCCCCGTCTTGTGCGCACGCCTATTGTAGTGAGGAGAGTGACCTCCGGACAGGAAATCTCCGCCACGTGCTTAACGGCAAAGCATCGGGGCTATTCCATGTTCGTTTTGCAAGTGCTTGTGCGGCACGTGTGTGCTAGAAAGCCAGCGAGAACACACAAAAATCTGCTGGACGTGCATCACAGCCCTGTGTGACCATGTGACCAAGCCACCGACACTGCTACGTCACAGCCCAATTCTGCACCTAAAAACAAAAACGAGCCGAAAATGGTCCACATAAAAATGGTGATAATAATAAATTTAGTGAAAATAAATGAATCTTAGTGCGTGTATCATGCTTCGTGGAGCTATAAGAAATGCTTGTAGCAAAGAATGTGCAAGCAACAAAAATGGTAGCACCACCCCTTTAAAAGCTTCTTATCAAGTCAAGTCAAGTCAAGTTTATTAAATAGTTCAGTTGAGTTACATGGTTAGCGTTATTACAGCAGGAAGTCCAAAAGTTTCAGAGAAACTGACAGGGGGACCTCCTATGGCTACATGGATGGGGTAATTACAAAAAATACAGCAATAGTATACGGACTTGTGAGTAATAATGAATAATCTTGATTAACAATAAAAATACGATCAATAAACAACATAATGGTAATACTCACTATTGAAAAATAACAAGGAAATAGTCAAAAGCAAGTGAAGACGAAAAACAATATTAATGAACTCTACGTGACAAATGCAAAATGTTTCATTATCAGTGTTATCAATTATACAAAGGCAAATTGAAGTAGTAAAATAGCACAGAACTGCAGAGAGCTATTAACAGTTAATTACACAAATCAGATGAGTTGATTAATTCCTGAACGTAATATTTCTTACTGTGCGAAGTGAAAATATGGATGTTTTGCGATGATTTCAATTCGAAAGGCAATGAATTCCAAATGGCTATGCTAGTAAATAAGGTTGAGAACTTGCCGTAGTTTGTCCTTACGGCCGGCAAAAGAAGATTATTGCACTGGGAAAACCGGGTGATGTTACCATTAGTTAAGTGACGATGATCAATGCATGCAATAAAAATGTCATGCGTGATGTGTCTAAAGGCAACAATGGACATTCTATGACAAAATAATTGTCTCAATGGGAGTATGTTAAGCTGAGGAAACAACGAGCTGCAGGAGAAGTAAAATGGGCTGAAAGTCATTAATCTAACTGCTTGATTCTGAAGTCGCTGCAAACGTTTGATGTGCGTGAAATATGTGTTGGCCCAAGATGATATGCAGTACGAAATATGGCCATGAATATAAGCAAAATACAAAGTACATATGATGTGAGGCGGAAAATAAGTTCGTGTCTTGATGATAACGTGAATACCAAATGCAATCTTTTTAACGAGTGATGCTGCATGTTTATAAAATTTTAGTTCGCTATCTAAGATGACGCCAAGAAACCGCGCTTCACTGGAAATGTTTATGACGGTATTACCAATGTGAAGGGAAGGTTGTATGTTAAGTGAAATGCGCGGGGAATGGAACAACATAAACACGGTTTTAGTAGCATTGATCTGAAGATAATTGGCCTGGAACCACAAAGTTATGTTATGTAAATCTGTGTTGAGGTCAGACGGGAGTGACGAAACTGATTTAGATGACTGAAAGATGGTTGTGTCGTCAGCGTAAAGTATGCACTTGGTCCTTGTAAGAATGGTAGGTAGATCATTAATAAACATCAAAAACAAAATGGGCCTAAAATTGATCCCTGTGGAAACCAACGTTAATTAACTTGGGCGTTGAAAGGTGGCCATTAACATGAACCATTTGAGACCGGTTACTGAGGTAGCTCTTAATAAAACTTAGTGGCGGACCAGACATACCAAATGATTCGAGTTTAGCAAGTAGAACGTGATGATTTATTGTGTCAAAAGCCTTCGTCAAATCGATAAACACAGATCCCACAAGTAACCCTCTATCAATAGCTTGTTTAATTTCCTCCATTAAGGTAATTAGTGCCAGCTCAGTTGAGTATCCTTGACGGAATCCGAATTGTTGTGGAGATAAAAGATTAAATTTTTTCAGATAACGCATTAATCTATTGTGGAATAACTTTTCAATTACCTTACCGAAGAAAGGCAGGATACAGATTGGCCTATAATTCTGTACAAAAGTCTTATCACCCTTCTTAAAAACTGGAACTATTTTACCAGCCTTAAGGCAGCTCGGAAACACACCCGCTGAAAACAGCTTGTTAATAATTACTGCCAAAGGTGGTGATATTAAGTTTGAAACTAGTTTTACTTTAAGAGGATCAATATGATCTAAACCAGCACTTGTGGTCTTTAGTGATGTGATGACCTGAAGGACTTCATCTGCAGACGAGGAATGAAGATAAAAAGAATGAGTACACAGTGGTATATTGCGTAAATGACCTGGTGATTGCTGCATATCCGCAGATGCGCAGAAATGCTTACTGAACCTGGCGGCTACTCTTACAGGGTCGGTATACATTTCGTCACCTTGTTTTATTTTTATTGTGGGCTCTGAGCAGTTTTTCATGTTCAAAAATTCTTTAATGATTACCCAGCAGCGTCTCGTGTCACCTGTGTTTTTCACAATGAGATTCTGGTAGTAATTGCGCTTAGCACGCCTAAGTAAGGAATATAATGTTGCTGAGTATTTGTGAAAGCGGCATTTTAATGCGAGGTTATAAGGCTGCGACTTTAGTTTCTTATCAAGGTTATTTTTTTTTATTAATGGACTTCAATAACGAGTTGCTTATCTATGGATTTCTAGGGGAACGATACCACTTCGTGACAGTAGTGGAAGTGGTGCATGCATCTATACCTGAAGCTATTACTTCTGAGAAAGACTCAAAAGTCTTTTCTGTGCAGTCTAGATTAGTCACCGATGTCCAATCTACAGTGCTAATTATTTGCACAAACTTGTCCGCGTCGAATCGGCGTTTCGTAAAGATGTTACTGGCCTTGGTATTTTCGGAGCCCAGAATGAAAAATACGGGATTATGGTCTGTAATGCTATGATCTATTACAGCTGCAACGTGTTCAGTGGAAATGTTGGAGATGATATGATCTATTAGGGTATTCGAACCTAGTAAATCGTTTCTAGTTGGTGCTGAGATATGCGACGTAAAGCCATAGAAGTATAAACAGTTCATATATTCTAAGCACGATGCACTATCATAATCAATAATGTTTATATTAAAATCACCACATAAGACAACGTTTTTATTT